CCCTTAAATTTTGTTCGAAAAAGCACTGATATTGATAAGTTTATGATGTAAACTAGTTCTACTTTTATTGCTAAAAATCATTGTCACAAATACCCAAAACAAACAAAAAAAAAAAAAAGCAAAACAAAACAAAAGCAAACAAACAAACAAAAATCAATAATTGATGAGAACATTTTTGTCACCAGAAAAAAAAAAAAAAAAAAAAAAAAAAAACCATATCTGTGACCATAAAAAGGAACTAAAACATTGCATTTTCACCAATGAAATTTTCATCACAAATATTTAAAAATTAATAAATAAGCGACGATGAACTTTTTCAAAAAAAAAAAAAAAAAAAAAAAAAAAAAACGATAATGCATGTGACCACAACATGTTTTGTCAAATTGTATTTCATTGCAACCAAAATAATTAATAGTATCAAGTTGTACATACATTTATGAGTGAGGACTTAAGTTTTGACACTATTATTTTACTAATAGTGACAATTTAATTTTAAAATATATTTAATTGTCACAATTACTAATTATTTATGTTACAAAATAAAAGGTAATAAAATTAACAAACAAAGAGTGTTAATTGGTATTTCCCATCACATAAGTTTATTATTTGTGACAAATTATAAAGCGTTACAAAAAAAATGTCACTAAATGACTTATTCATTCTTATACCTAAAAGAATTTTCATTATATATCTTCATTCTTTTAAATTATTATAAAGAAAAAATGACACATTTTAACTCCGAATTATAATGATAAGTCATTTTTCCTTCTAAATTATTATCAAAGTAACTAATTTTACCAAACTTGTAACATAACTATTAAATATTGGCAGAGCAGAGCAATATGAAAACTTAAAACTTTAAAGAATTTTTATGTGATTTAAACTATTAGTCAATGGGAGAGGGTAACTTATTCGACGGTTGGGAAGATGATTAAATAGAATAGTTTAAAACTACATAAAAATTCTTCAAATTTTAGATTTTTAGGCAACTTTGTTGATACTTAATAATTATGTTAAGAATAAGGAAAATTAGTCACTTTGAGAATAAATGAGAAGGAAAATACGATGTTCTTATAATTAAGGTGAGAAAAAAAAAGGGGTATTACTCCATATAATTCATTAATACATGAACTAAAAGTGTATTTTTTAATTATAAAATGGAGCAAATCCCGCTATATATATAATTTTGAGAATTTCAAAGCTATTAAACTTGTTAGTAGTCATCTTTGACACTTAGGAGGGTGTATTCAATCAAGACTTTTAAAGAGTTTCAAAGACTTTTAAAGTGATGGATTTTAAATGACTTTTGTAGAGATTTTGTAGACTTTCATAGAATCTTTTAAACTTTCATCAACTTTGTAAGAGTCTTTAAAAATTCATAGGACAAACATTTATAGACTTTTAAAAACTTTTTCATATTAAAAAGTCTACAAAAGTCATTAAAACTCTAAATTGAATACACCCTTACAAACATTTCATAACTTTTATTAATACATTATTTATGATTTTCTTACAAAAATATATTTTTTATAAACCATAAATAAACTAATGTATTGCAAAAAAAAATATTGATTGTCACAAAAATAAAATGAAAAATTACAAATTAAAATATTCATCTTGTTAGTACAATTATCTTTGATTGGAATTGATTTCACCTTGTTGAGTATCTCTCCACATATCCAAAGCTATTTTAGCCCTCCATTCATTGGCATGTTCTCATTGTTGCTCTTGAGTTTCAAATAGTTGTTCAAAATTATCTACATCATTCATCAGTAAAGGTGAAAGAGATTCATCATTATTTAGGTCAACTGGAAACTCATCACTACGACATTCCTTGCGAAGAAAATTATGAAGGCCTGAACAAGCTAGTACAAGTTCTGCTTGAGTCTTATAAGGGAATGGAGGTGTTGACTTGAAGATCGTAAATCTCGATTTGAATATACCAAATATTCTCTCAATTACATTCCTCAAAGAAGAATGTCATAGATTGAATAACTCAACATCATTTTCAGGGTCACGACCTTGCCCGAAAAAATCTTGGAGATGATACCGTACACCTCGATATGGAGCTAAAAACTGTTGTCGGTTTGGAAATCCACAATCCACTAAAAAGTATTTACCTACACACTTAACATATTAATTATCCAATATGTAAAGTTATTTAATATTCGTTTAAAAAAAAAAAAAAAAAAAAAAAAAAAAAAAAAAAAAACTAAACTGACCTTGTGGCACTTTAAGGCCATTCCTCCTTGATAAACTGTCACTTAGCACTTTTGAATCATGTGCTGAACCCTCCCACCCGCTAAGAACATATATGAATTCTAAATCAAAGTTACAAGCAACCAATATATTTTGTGAAATTATTCCACGACGATTACGATAACTGCTTACATCACGCCCAGTTACCATTGCTGGAATATGTGTGCCATCAATAGCTCCAACACAATCCTAAAGTAAATTCAACACATACATATAATTTCATATTCAGATGTATAAGAATATCTATATCACTCATAAATAAAAAAAAAAAAAACAAAACAAAACAAAACAATAATTAATCAAATAGAGTGATTTATTACTTACCTTAAAATCTGCCGCGAATAGCAGCTAGTTGCTGCTGCTGTTCGCAGCAGTATAAGCAGATTAAATTCTGCTGCGAACAGCAAGCTTGCTGTTCACAGCAGCAAATTAAAACAAAATACATAAATAAAAAAATTATAAAGTATAGTTTTATGAAAAGTTTAAAAAGTACCGTAAATTTTGGTAGAAATTGATGAAAAATTTATCTGGTTGAGATAGAGATAAAAGTCTATAGAGAAAATTGAAAAGTTTGGGGTTGGAGGGTCGAATTTCATCTATTTATATTAATGAAGAAAAAGTCCACAGGAATCCTATTCTGATAGAGTCTATGAAAGTTGATAAATATTTGAATACCAGTAGACTTTTACAGACTCTATAAAAGTCTGAAACGAATACCATTATACTTTTAAAGACTTTTGAAAAGTCTGAATCGAATACCGGTAGACTTTTAAAGAGTCTTTAAAAGTCTAAATTGAATACCCCCAAACTTTGAAAGTCATTAAAAGTCTTTAAAACTCTTTAAAAGTCCGGATTGAATACACCCCCCTTAATTATTTATTATATTGCTTTCTTCCTTATCGTGAAAATAAATTAATCAAGCTTTGAAATGGGTGATCGAGTGAATGAAGCATAAGTATTCTGACTCTTGTACACAAGGGTTATAAATTTGATTTTTGCCAACACCTTTTTAATTGAGGTTATCACAAAAGGTCTTCCTAGTATAATTTATCTGTTATGTGTGGTTTGCAAGTTATTACACAGGAGCATAATTTATTCATTAGACGCCCTATATAGTGACTGTGGGTCTCGACCTCTCGACTCTTGTTATAATAATAATAATAATAATAATAATAATAATAATAATAATAATAATAATAAACAATCATGCTCATTGGCAAATGCATCACTCTTCTCTTATTAATTATAAGATTATTAATGATTCTGATCGCTAATAATATATTCAGTCCATTGTCGTTTATTTTAAATATTAAATAATAGTTTTCAAACTTTCAATTATTATTTCCCAATCGAAATTAATATTTTATTCTCCGATAGAAAAAAACAATCGTTTCCGCTTTGGAATTGTTAATCATCATTATGTACACTGCACAAGGACGGTAATATATAATTATATATGACCTTAGAATTAATCTAGCTATTTCAAGTGTAACAAGGTGCAACACATGCAATAAATAAAAGAGGTTTTAATCTGCATTCGCTTTGGACTTTACGCACGGAGTCTCCCCTTCTTTTGTAATAAAAAAAAAAAAGACGTAAATATGAAAAAGTAGTTGTATCTATAGTTTAAAATGTGATATATTGTTAAAAAGGAATTGTGCAACGTCTGAAACATGATTTTAATACATGAAAATCATGAATTTATTCTTACGCATAAAGTCTTCATATTAATCAATATGGTTGGTGTGGTGGTTTAACACCTCGTCTCTTAAGCATGAGATTGGGGGTTTGATCTTCACCCATGTGAATGGAATAAACCAGTTGGCCAATTTAATAGTAGGGATAATGGTTAGTCTTCTGGTGAAGGGATATCTTTGGACAACTAAAAAAACTATAATTGCGAGTTAGTTTATTGAATTAAATTTTTGGTACAATTCATCAGAATAGTGTAAATGTAAATATGTTAGTGAATAGGACTGGGCATGAGAGATGGTCAGATAATAGAAGAGAACAAAATATTGGATTAGAAGATTTACCGGAATTTGTTCTGAAAAGTCAATTCTGCGGTGGCCTTTTCTACCCCACATCCGCCAGCGGATAACACCAAGTCACCAACATCATTTCTCCCACATTTGCTATACTCTTTTAGATATTCTAGCTTATGTGAGAATAATTCATTCTCTAAAAATGTTGAATCCTCAACCCCAAATACTTCACACTCCCGACCAGTATTGCAAAAATTGCTTTCAGCCCCTAGACGCTAGGCAGTCGTCCACCTAGACATTCTAGGTACCGATTAATCGTTCTAGGCACTCGCCTAAGCGCCCCAAGTGGTCCCCAGACGCCTAAAGTGGGCCTAGCTCCCGATTTGACAAAACATTTAGTAAAATGTAAATAAGGTAATTTAATGGCTTAGGCCAAATACAGGTGCGGACAAGAATCTGTACACTACTGTAGCTATCGAAATTCGAACATTTTCTTTCAAATACTGTCTACTGTCTACTAACTAGTAAACTAAGCCCGTGTAGTCTAGGTTAGAGTAATCCTAAATATGGAGAATCCGGTCCAAGAAAGGCAAGAGATAAATTGTGAATCTTCTCATTAATTCTCAAGTTTTCACATTTATCTCCTCTAGTCAGTCATAATATCAAATCCAGATTGTCAGTGATATTCAAATCGAACAAGACTTTAGAGTGATCAGTCGAAACAATTCCCACCCCTTTATATATAGTGGTGACAGGCATTTGTAGCCAGCCTGGTGTAAAGCTAGACTGGACTGGTCAGCTTTTCGAGAATGGAAAAGTTTAACGTTGTTGTTTATGTGCTCCTTTCTTTCTTGCTGTCTTCTCCGTTTTTCCATCGTGGCGGCGCCGGAGCTAAGACCGCCGCCGATGGATCCGAAGCTTGGGGCTACGTTCAAGTCAGACCAAGTAATATAATTCTGCACATTTCTCTTTCTTCTTCTTCATTTCTTCTGCAAAAATGCTTACATTCTCATCATTGTATAGCCATGGCATTCGCTTATAAACGCATTTCGATTATTTTAATCCTTGTTTGGGTGTGTATGGAAAAACAGAAGCGCACATGTTCTGGTGGCACTACAAAAGTCCGTACAGAGTTGAGGATCCAAACAAGCCATGGCCAATCATTCTGTGGTTGCAGGGTGGACCTGTAAGTTTAATTTGTTTTCCTTAATTTTCACTAATTACTTTAAATTTTAATTAGATATATATTCACACTTTTATTATTTGTTGAAAATTAGGGAGCTTCAGGGGTAGGAATTGGAAATTTTCAAGAGATTGGGCCTCTGGGTGTAAATTTGGAGCCTAGAAATTCAACTTGGTTGAAAAAAGCTGATCTACTATTTGTGGTAGGTTTCTTTACATTTTAAAATATTCTTTTCATACTTTTTTAGATTTTTTTTTTTTAAAACGTGAATTAATTAGTTTTTTTTATTATTTATTTTGGGTATTTATTGAAAATTTTTATATAGGATTGTCCAGTTGGAACTGGGTATAGTTTTGTGGAGGATACAAAGCTGCTGGTGAAGACTGATGTGGAGGCAGCAACTGATTTAACTACTCTACTGATAAAAGTTTTCAATAAGGATGTGAATTTACAGAAAAGCCCTTTATACATAGTAGCAGAGTCTTATGGAGGAAAGTTTGCTGTTACTGCTGGATTGTCAGCTCTCAAAGCCATTGAAGCAGGCAAACTGAAGCTCAAACTTGGGGGTAATAATGTCTCAATAATTTTCCTTTTTTTTTTTTTTCCTTTTCGAATTACTTAGCTCTGATTTTGGGAAAATCCGTAGTCCCGACTCAAATCAAGAAAGTCAATAGACGCTCTCATTAGGATGGAATCTTATAATTACTAAGTCAATAACTTGACCAACTAGACTGGGAAATTACTTAGGTGAATTCTAATTTTCTAAACATGGCAAAATTACTTATTTTTGTAGGAGTGGCATTAGGTGATAGTTGGATCTCACCTGAAGATTTTGTGGTATGTAACCCTGTCTGCTATTAGTTTTTTTTTTTTTTTTTTGGGTAATTAAATGAAATATTACTTCTACATTATCTATCACTGCTGCAGTTGTCTTGGGGACCTCTGCTGAAAGATGTCTCAAGGATTGATGAAAATGGCTTGAAAAAATCAAACAGGTCCATATCAAACATTTATGTGTGCGTTGCTGGTAAACCCCGTCGTCTTGTGATTCTAACCGACAAAGAATCACAAGAAAGTAAACCAGTCTAAGTTGTTTATAGCTAACCATTTCAAACCAAGAAGGCCAATAGGCCGCTCCCCATGAGAGTTGAACTTGGAACTTGAAACTTGAAACATCTATGTGTGCGATGGTGGGTAAATCTTATCTTGTGATCCTAACAGGCAAAGGATCACAAGGAGGTTAACCAGTTTAAGTTGCCTATAGCTTCAAACCAAGAAGGTCAATAGGCTGCTCTTCCTAAGAGTTGAACTTGGAACTTGTGATTATCAAGACAACAGCTCGATCAACTTGATTGGGGTTGCCTGCTGTTATATATATGGACATTGGAAATGTTAGTTGTCTAACCAAACATGTTTCAGAAAACAGTATAGCTAAGCAAATTAAGCAGAAGCTTGTTGGAGGCCAGTTTGAAGAGGCAACAAATCTCTGGTCCAAACTTGAAGATGTCATAAGTACCTACAGCAATTCTGTGGTATATATATGTATATATATATATTCTGCTTCCATACAACTCTTTTTGTGGCAATTTTGTTCGACCCTAACCACGTTAGTTCTGCAAGAAATTGTAGAGTGGTGATTAAATTCGTAGAGTTATTCTACCTATATATTGAACTAGACTAGAATAACCCGTAGCGGATATTGGCCTTTCGAGCCCCTATTCTAATTTTTTTTTGGGATATTTGAATAATTTGCAGGATTTCTACAATTTTATGTTGGATTCTGGCGAGGAGCTTTTGTCCACAACATCACAATCTTTAACAATGAAGAGATACAAATCATATCTGGGATCCTTGAAGGCTTCCCCAGGTTCTGAAGGTGATCTTGACAGCCTAATGAATGGAGCCATCAAAAAAAAGTTAAAGATTATCCCACCGCATTTTGAGTAAAGTTTTTGTTCTCATTTTTTTTTTCTTAATTTTCTTTAGTATTTTTTAAAAATGTAATAGTCTAGGGGGTGTTTGATAAATAGTTGTTAGCTGATTGAGTTAGTGTGTTTGACTAGTTGATAGCATTAACTGATTATAGAAAGATGTTTGGTAAATTAGCTGTTAGTTGATAGCTGATTACATACAAAATGACTCTATCAAAAAGCTAATCAAAAAAGTTATTTTAAGCAGCTTTTTGAATTTTAGTGTTTTGAAGGAATAAGTTGTTACAAAAATTAATTAATTAAACATTCATATTGATTGTTTAACGAAATCAAACAGCTAATAGTGGTCAAACAAGTTAAAATTAACTGATAGACTAACTGTTTTATCAAATAGGGCCTATAATCCATCGAGAAAGAAGGTTAACCAAGATTGTGTTTTCGTAGGTGGGGAGAGCAATCTGGTCTCGTTTTTGACGCTATGGTGGGTGACTTCATGAGGCCAAGGATCAATGAGGTATTATACTTAAAATAAATATTGACAAAAAAAAAAAAAAAACCACAATAAACAAAGGTGCAAAGAGAGCACGAGATTTAAAGTGAGAGTTAGAGTATAGTTTATAATAACTTTGTAGGGCAGGTGATATAATTTTAATATTCTTTTGGTGTACACTGTACAGGTTGATGAGCTATTGAGTAAAGGAGTAAATGTGACGATATATAATGGACAAGTAAGGCTTTCAGTATATTCCCTTAAAAGAATTCGTAAATTGAAAAAGAAAATATATTGCAAGTTATCAGATTATTGTGTTTTTTTAGATGTTATAAAAAAGGAAAAGTCTAAGATAGTGATCAGTACTAGTGCTACACTGCTATTTGTACTAAGTACAAGGTAAAAAGTTGTAAAAGACATTAAGTTTGTACCGGACTTCAGGGTACAAGTGGTAGTAGTGTTAATTAAGACTTTGGAGAGAAATTGACATGTGTTTTGAGTTTGATGATTTTAGGTTGATCTCATTTGTGCCACCAAGGGAACTGAAGCATGGGTTCAAAAACTAAAGTAAATCTCATTAAATAAAACCTTTTTTTTTTTTAATTTCCTTTTGATAAATATTCAATAATTAGTGTAATAGTTAACTGTATATATAGTCTTATGTTATGTTTTTTACTATGATGGAATGCAGGTGGGAAGGGCTAAAAACATTCATTAGTATTGACAGGACTCCAATGTATTGTGGGAAAGACCAAACTACAAGAGGGTTCACAAAGTCATACAAGAACCTGCATTTCTATTGGATTCTTGGGGCTGGCCACTTTGTAAGTCCAATTTACTTCTGCCATTCATCACACACACACACACACACACACACACACACACACACACACATATATATATATATATATATATACTACTTATGATACTGGATCAAATGCACCATTAGATATGAATAAATGCACCACACAGTGTTCAAAAATGCACTAGATTCAAATGCACCACACCTAAAGTGGTAGATTTTCAAACCCTTTGTGGTGCATTTATGCGTACCTAATGGTGAGTGACTGCACGGTCACATGAGAAGTCTTGTCCACACGAGAACTTCCTACAACTTATTATGTCACTTATTGTCTTTGTCGTGAAATTATTGCTTATCCAATAATTATATTATGGACCAGAGTCTATCATTCACCATACGTATTGTGGACCATGTCTAGACTATGTACATATAATTAACAAATTATACACTTTCAGTTATCAGATTATATACATATTGCGATTAACAAATTATATACATGTTACAGTTAACATATGATGTACTTTCAATTTATTTATAAGTATATAATATGTTAATTGCAAATAAGGCCTACAATAGGTATAGTGAACTTGGTTCACAATATAATTTAGGAATGCTATCCTCACGATCGAAAGGAACCCCTCAATGCTCTCTAACGTACCTACATTCAGACCCCATTTCTGCCTGCCTGCTGTTTGCTACTTGCTAACTATGAAATATCCTTATCATGGGGGGTTGTCTTTAGATAATTGTACTATTCTTTTTTCTTTTTTTTTTTTTTAATGAAAGAAATTGTCAAATCAAAATGCAATTATATTGGAGCTAGCAGGGCTAGTTGTGAGATTTTTTTTAGAGTTATTTGCGGGTTTTCAGGGACAGCTTTTCATGCGAACAATGCTTTTTGTACAGTTGTGTAGTCTCTCCTTAGATACGCATAAATGCACCATAAAGTGTTCGAAAATGCACTATTAGGTGTAGTACGGTGTGGTGCATTCTTTTGTTGTATGATGCATTGGTGTACACTGTATAGTGTATTTTTGCATATTTAATGGTGAATTTGCACCAATTGTACCAGAAACACTATTCGCGTTTGAATCAGTATATATATATATATATATATATATATATATATATATATATATATATATATATATATATATATTCAGCAAAACTCTTTTTTTTTTTTTTTTTTTTTCTGTTTATAATATTGGTTTGGTGAACAGGTACCAGTGGATCAGCCGTGTGTGTCATTGGACATGGTGGGAAACATCACTCAGTCCCCTTCCTCTGCCACTTCACACTGAGTTTCTGTTTTACCCAAAACACATCGAAACAAGATCCATCCAGCATGGACACACAGAAGCTCCATTGAATCAGTACTGATTCTGCAACAAAGAATTCAAAAAAAAAATAAGTCCTAAATTTTAATTTATCTTGGACAATTATTGCAATTTTATAATTTATAAAGAATCTCAAATTATTGTACTTCATTTTTACTTATTCCCTCCCATCGTCCTATTTTATGTCCCTTGATTGATAGACGAAATGAAGTTATTTTTTTTTTCAATTATTCATAATGTTAAGTTTAGTATTAGAATATAAAATTTATATATTTAGAAAGAGTTAATTTCATTTTTGGCTTTAGATTTATAGATGACAATTCACTTTTAGTTCTTTTTTTTCAAAACATCCTCTTTTGATCTTAGTATTATCGTGGCATGACCATGTTTGATCCTTCACCTACAAAATCGTTTAAATTTCATAAAATATAAGGGCATTTAGGCCTTTAATTATGATTTTTTTTAAAAAAAAAAAAACATAAATAAAAATATAACGGGTCAACCACTATGTATATTATATAAAAAAAAAAAAAAACAAAACAAAAAAGATCTAAATGTCCTTGTATTTAAGGACATTTCAACAATTTTGTTGACGGAAGACAAAAAAAAATTGTCATGCTACAATAACACTACAAGCAAAGGTAAATGTTCTGAAAAATGACTAAAAGTGAACTGCTACCTATAAATCTAGGACCAAAAATGGAATTAACAATATTTAGAAACTGCTATTAAACACAAAATAAATAAATAGATAAATTAATTAATTAAAAGTAATTAAAAAATACTAAAGAAAATAATAAAGAAGAAATAGTTAGTTTTACCAATGCTTAGTAAATAAAACAGGTAAATAAGACATCGAATTTTTTTCACTTTACGCTTAGGACTTTTGGTCAATTATTTGCCTCAATCCACCTTCTAACCTAACTCATAATGATATCACAAAGTAAATATCCCTAATATAGAACATCAATATCTAATATCATATTATAAATTTTCAAATATAACTGGGGCGAAAATGAAACCCTGCAAACGTTTGACAATTTTAAAAAATACTGCGTATTATTGTAGATTAAAATGTTCCTTCTTGTAGTTGATCTTCGGTGAAAATCTTGTTATGCTTTTCTTTTCCTAGTTGATCCTTTTTGTGTAAAAAGGAAGAGAATGAAGAAAACTAGAATGGAGAATCGAGAGGAAAGATACACGGAGAATTCCAATTCATTCATTCATTAACAGAAGAGTTCATACAGGCCTGGTCCTATCATTCTTTAGGCCCGGGGCATAACAACAAAATGGGCCCTATACGAAATTAATATATATTTTTATAATTAAATTTAAATTAAATAAGGAAGCAATACTAATGTCAAATAACTTAAATAAGATTCACAAGATTTTAACAATTTTACATACACATGAAAACAATTATAGATGCATTCCTAAATCCACAATAATCCATCACCGCATCAGTATTTTCATAAATAAATAATATAGTTTATAAAAATGAATAAATAATTTAAAACCAAATGAACTTATAGACAATCATATTATTATTATAATAAATAATAAAATAATTATTAATAAAAATTTATATAAAAAAAAAACTTACAAATAAGAGCACAGCATAAAATCTTAATTATTGGAACAATAAATCAAAACACTCAAACGGGATAAAAGATATTCACAATAAAATATGAAACATAATTAATTGGATAAAATAGTTCAAACAAAAAACATGTAATAAATCATACATCTTATATATTGATATCATATTTATAAATACTCTTTTTTAGTTAGATCACTTTCAAGTTTTTCTAGATTAATTTGAATACGATGACGCACAATAAAACTTCTAACCTACATTAATTAGATAATTCATACAAAAATTAAATTATCTTTTAAAATATTTTTCATAACTAAATCACAAAATATATTACATATACATAAGTCATTATAAAGTTCACAAAACAACAAATATTCTAAATATAAGTTGTAAATTACTCGAATAGAAATAGATTCAAAATTTGATATGTATTACAAATCAATCTATATTATAAATCTCACTATAATTATAGAAAGGTAACAAAATCACGAAGTTACAAATTAAATTTAGAAAAATACAAATTAGAAATAGAAATAAATAAACTGTAGAAAAATGATATATATATATAAGGAGATTTGATCCCTTGACCATGAGCACAAAACCTACAAGTCTTACCAAATCACTCAACTCAAATCTTAATATAGTAAAATTAATTCTTAAATTCATAAGTCTTACCAAATCACTCAACTCAAATCTTAATATAGTAAAATTAATTCTTAAATTCATATACTAAATAGTAGAGGGGAAAATTTTTATGTAAAGTTGCAAATGGGGATTCGATCCCAAGACCATGTGCATTCTTAAAATGTTAAGCCTTACCAACTCAACCAACCAAGAAACCATTACCAAATATGTATACTAAATAACATTTCTATAGTATATATAAGAGTAATGGTATAGGGCAGGGGCCCCTTCCAAGCATGGGGCCCTGGGCAAGGGCCCAGTCTACCCTTGCCCAGGGCCGGGGCTGAATTCATATAAGATATATATTCCTGAAAATTAGGAAAAATAACTAATCACTAAGATAATGATCCTATATTTGAATTTACTATAACACTCCCTGGGACTTTATCTTCCCAGAATCATGTCCCGTTAAAAACCTTGCTTAAAAAAAAAAAAAAAAACCTCGTAAAAAAAACCTATACTAGTCAAGAAAAATAATACATGATGTATGTATAGTCATGTGTTACACTGGTTGCATCATTAAAAATCTTAAACTAAGAAAATTCTGGGAAAAACTTAACTAAGGGAAAAAGAGTACAACCAAATGCCTTCAAGCTTTAATCTTCAGGATTATAATGGCGTTCTGGACCAATTGATCAAGAACATCTAGAGGTTGTTGTTCCCTCAGAAGGTAATAATCTTCCAAGCCTACGCATTCCAATTTTGAATGTAGACATGATGAAGAAAATGAAAGAGCAAAGAAGAGGCAACATGTTGAAGCTACTGAAGTTGAAAGGCAAATTAAAGCCATATTTGACTACCTTTGGAGAGTCACATGGAATGAGCTAGATACAACTCTTACCAACGCCATCTCTAACATTTTGAGGGACAACAATGCTTCACTTGCAGATGGAATGAATTATGTTGAGTTAATTTTATTTTTAGTCCTAGATTTATAGGTAGCAGTTTACTTTTAGTTCATTTTTATCAAAATATTTCTTTTTGTCCTAATATTATTGTGACATGACCAATTTTGGTCTTTTATCAAAAAAAATTGTTGAAATTTCGTTAAATACAAGGGCATTTCGCTCTTCAATTATGAACTTTTTTAGAAAAATAAACATAAAAAAATATAACGGGTCGACTCACTTTGCATTAAAAAGATCAAGATGTCCTTCAATTTAACAAAATTTTGACGATTTTGTTGATAGAGGGCAAAAATTGGTCATGTCATAATAATACTAGGACCAAAAGTGGATGTTTTGATAAATCTAGAACTAAAAGTGAACTGTCACCTATAAATCTAGGACAAAAATGAAATTAACTCAATTATGTTGAATTAATAAGATGGTGGAGATGTCAGGTCAGAAGGTGAATTATCATAAATCTAACATATGCTTTAGTAAAAACACCAGGGAGGACAGGGAAGTGGTAGCGGCGTGTCTGCAGGTTGACCAGACACCCAACTTTGGGAAATACCTGGGCCTGCCATCTTTTGTTGGGAGGAATAAGAGAACGGTGTTCTCTTACATTGAGGATAAAATTAAGCAGAGGATTGGTTCGTGGAACAAGAAATTACTTTCGCAAGCTGGCAAGGAGGTCTTGTTGAAAAGTGTAGCCCAGTTTTCAATGAATATTTTCTTATTACCTGACACAGTTTGCTCATCAATCCAGAGAACTATGAATAGATATTATTGGTATGGATAGGGGATACACTTGAAAGCATGTGATAAATTATGTGTCTCTAAGAAGTTTGGGGTTTAAGGATCTCAGGGATTTAATTTGGCTATGCTAGGAAAGCAAGCATGACGTTTTCTCACAAACCCCGCCTCCCTTGTTGCAAAGATTTATAAGGCGTGTTATTTTCCTACTACATCTTTTGTTGATGCCAAGGTAGGAAGTTGTCCAAGTTATGCATGGAGAAGTATTATGGCAGCACATGATATGGTCGTAGCGAGAGTCCCTTGAAGGATGGGTAATGGTGAAACAACATTGATATGGGGATATCCATGGTTACCAGATGATCCTAGCCCCCTCATACAGACAAACAGAGATGCCCGGGTAGCAGGTCTGATTGATCCACAGACTAATACTTGGGATCCTCATATTTTGACTGATTTATTTGATGAGGAGGATGTGACTAAAATTAGAAGAATTTCAGTAACTCTGGATACAAGGACTCATGGTATTGGCTAGGTGACCCCAGGGGAGTTTATACGGTTAAGAATGCCTACAAGAATATTATGGGGAATTATATGCATATTGCCGGTGATTTTGATAAATGGACTGTTATGTGGAAGATGAAAGTTCCCCCAAAATGGAAAACCTTCCTGTGGAGAGCAATTTGTGATATTCTCCCTACAACTAATAATTTGATTATAAAGAGAGTGGTGGTGGAACCAACATGCCAAATGTGTGGTTTGGCCAATGAAGATGTTATGCATGCTTTTAGTAACCTATGAATATTCTAGACTTGTTTGGAATGTTTTAGGCTTGCATATAACAAATATCATTACCGATTTATTCCCAGCATGGCTAACTGGTGCACTTGCAATGTTAACAGAGGAATAAAGTGCTCTTATGGTGGCAATCATGTATCAATTATGGCGATGCCGCAACTCCGCCGGTGTGGGACGGCGCTCTCCCTCCACCCGTCGGCGCATGGAGGAAGGCGGCCACGGCATTGAGTCGTTCCAGGGAGCCAACCACCGCCCTCCTCGTCAGGCCGAGATGACTATGGCAGCTCCGAATGGTGATCACGGCAGGCCCAAGTGCTACGTGGATGCAGGGTTCGGACACGCAACCGGGGAAGCTACCTTCGGTATTGTCCTTCTCTCGTCGGACGGTCAGTTTACGGTGGCACGAAACAGAAGGTTAGCGCCTTGTTTTTCGCCACTCATGGCAGAGACCCTAGCCTGTAAGGAAGCTCTATCTTGGTTGTTGGAGAAAGATGTAACATCGGTGGACATACTCACGGATTGTATGGACCTACGGAACATTCTACGCCAGGAGTCTGCAAATATTCTATCCTATGTTGGCGTTATGGTCGACCAATGTAGGGAGGCCATGGCATCATTTAATTATTGCACTTTAAGTTACGTTTTCAGACTTTTAAATTCTCATGCTCATATCCTAGCTTCTTTAGCATTTGCTCAGGACCAGTTTATGTATTGGGATTCAATCCTTGAAGTTTTCCATAATTATCTAAGCTTAAGGATCACAAACTGCTTTGACCACTTGGTATTAAGAGATAACATCAGGGGCACAAAAGAGCAGATCAACAAGATCCTCGACCAAGCTGCATTCAAGGAAAAGAAGTAACAAGAAGAACATGGCTACAGATTGTGCAATAAATATTTGTAATGTTTACTTAATTTGAGCTTTTATTTTCAAATCTATGTAATTGTAATTTTTGAAGTGATGAATAAAATAATTTGTGTGGGTTGCGTGGAGTTTAAGTATTTCTAGCACTTTAAATTTCTAGAAATACATATTGTCAAACTCAATTATGAGTTGTTTGTAATGAAAAATCCTTTTCATGGATAATTACAACTTCATAATCTGGGTATAAGTTTTGGTATCATAAAAAAATGAAGAAATTGTTATGAACATTTTGTTTCATATTTTGATGATACCAAATGATTGGAATTTTATACCCTAATTATTTTAATTTTTAGACCTGAGTTTATTTATGCTCAAAATTCGAACAAACCGAATGGTACCTCGAGTAATCACAATCCGGTTAAACAAAACATATGAATGCTAACTTGAAGGGTCATGTTTCGGTAAGTCTCAACAAACGATTCGTGGAGTAACCCGAATGGTTACCTCTCGAATGGCTCGAAAAGGAGTTAAGAAGACTAGAAGACTGAAGATCCGAAGAGTAGAAGACCACAAGACAGAAAAGGTTGGAAAGGTCGAGAGGTGGAAGGGACAGCCTTTCGAAGTGTTAGTAGGACAAATGGTAAGTTCAACCATTCGTAGCCGAAGGGTTGCAAAGGTCGAAAGATGGAAGGACTTACCTTTCGAGGCATAAAAGGGACGAATGGTAAGGTCAACCATTCGTATCCAAGAGGTTTAAGGTTCGAAGAGTTAACCTAGTTAACTATTCGAAAGGACTGCTTGAGACATTCTCTGAGCCAAAAGTTCGAAACCTTAATACTGAGCGAATGTGTCCAAGGCAAAATGAGTCATGGGAACACATCTCAAGAAAGATATTTCCTTAAAATCTTTGACTTTTTGTGCAGAACAAAAAGATATGTTCAACACAAATTGAGTCTTTAACGGCTGAAAAATCGGACACGCTCACTTATCCTCCGGATTACCCGTCGGTGTCTACCCAATATTTTTCAAAGGTAAATGTAGGCAGGGACTTGGTGAACAAATCTGTTAGATTGTCACTTGAGCGAACCTTCTAAACAATTTTTCCACTCTTCTAGAGTTCATGCGGATAAAATAACTTAGATCAATTAGGTGCAATGTGTTTTGTAAGGTTTCCCTTAACATACCCATTACACATCTGTGTAACACATGCCACATTATCCTCATACGGGACCATGAGAATATCATTTTTTTTTTTGTCTTTGTGATGAAATTATTACTTTTTTTGTCTTTGTGATGAAATTATTACTTATCCAATAATTATATCATAGACCAGAGTCTATCATTCATCATACGCATTGTGGACCATGCTAGATTATGCATATATAATTAACAAATTATGTACATGTTGCATTTAATATATTATGTACCTTCAATTTACTTATAAGTATATGATATATTAACACCTTTCAAATATATATATATATATATATATATATATATATATATATATATATATAATACATTAACAGCAAGTAAGGTCTACAATATAAATTTGTTTTTTCACAATATAATTGAACCCCTCAGTTCTCTCTAAGGCTATCCACATCTCACAATATGTTGGACTTGCAAGATGATGTGAAAATTTAAAATTAAAAAAAAAAAAAAACATTTTTTATTTTGTTTGAAATTCACGTGGCTCGCAAACTTGTTATTTCTTTAAGATGATGTGTTTTTTTTTTATTATTATTATATTCATAATATAATATGAAAGTAAGACCACTTTTGAGACTGAGAAAATATTACAAGGATGTAAAAATAATAATAATAATAATAATAATAAAGAAATTGTAAATTTGATAATATGAAAGTGGGATTCATTTTTAAAAGTGAAAGAGTATTCTACCTTTTGTTTTTTATTGCTACTTGCTAACTATGAAATATTTTTCCAAAAGAAGAACCCCACACCCCGGCCTAGCGCACAAGGAGCCCCTCACCCCCACACCCCGGCCCAACAGAGCATTTGGGAGGATTCACTGCGCACAAGGAGCCCCTCACTTTGAGAGGTTGCTCCCACACTGCCGCTGGTGAGACTCGATCCCTGGTCATTCTTCCAAAGTTTCACCTCTATGACCAATTGAGCTACCCATACGGACACTAACTATGAAATATTCTTATCATGGGGGTTGTCTTTAGATAATTGTACTATTCTTTTTTATGAAAGAAATGGTCAAATCAAAATGCAATTATATTGGAGCAGGGCTAGCTAGTTGAGTTATTTGCGGGCTCCAATGTAATACAAACAAAAAAGAAATTTATATTATATAAAAGAAAAGAGAAAAAAAAATGTTGACAACCACGTCTCTCATCTTTGAAAAATTAGACTACCAAAACTCCTCTCTCATCTTCCCTCTATCACGTCTCTTTTTCTTCACACAGTAAAAAAAAAAAAAAAAAAAAAAAAAAAAAACACTCAAAAAAGGTGAAAAACTATTACCACCAATGGAATTGCTTTTGCTCATATTTTTACTCATTTTCTATATTATTCTGTACATTTTTTGTACTACGTTGAAGTGATTGATTTAACCTCCTTTTTTTTGTTTTTTTTTTTTTTTTACTTAAATAGCCAAAATAAAATTAAAAAAATATGATGTGTTTCCAGCAAAACTCTGTTATAATATTGGTTTAGTGACTGGTGAGCAGGTACCAGGGGATTCCCCTTGCCCTGCCACTTCACACTAAATTTCTGTTTTACCCAACACACATCCAAACAAGATCCATCCAGCATGGAGACGCAGAAGCCCCATTGAATCACTGATTCTGCAACAAAGAATTCAAAAAATTAAAAAAAATATCCTAAATTTCAATTTATCTTGGACAATTATTGCAACTCTATAATTTATAAAAAACCTCAATTTATTTTACTTCATTGTTAGTTTACTAATTATTCCTTACCCGTTCCATTTTATATGTCTAGATTGATTAACAAAATTTGACTAAAGTTAATTTTTTATTTAATTTTACTTAATATTATTAAGTTTAATATTAGTATATAAGTTTATATACTTAGAAATTACCATTAAACACAAAATTAAATTTAAACGTAATTAACAAATACTAAAGAATGTTTTCAAAAAAAAAAAAATACTAAAGAAAATACATAGAGAAGAAAAAAATTGATTTAACCAATGAGACAAATTGAATATATATTTTTTACATTATTTTTTTCACTTTGTGCTTAGGACTTTGGTCAATTAATTGCCTCAATTCACCTTCTAACTTAACCCCCACGATGATATCACAAAGTGGCATAAAATATTGTAAAATATCCCTAATATAGACCATCAATATCTAATAATATTGTAAATTTTCAAATATTATTGGGGTGAAAATGAAACCACGCAAACGTTTGATTTGACAATTAAGTGGTAAAAATACGGAGTTTTACTTTATGCTCAATAATTCAGTTTGTATTTTTACGGTTAAAGATTAGACTTACAGTTGAAAGTCCATTTCTAGGGAGGGCATTATAATACAAGTGAACACATGCAGACTTGATATCACCATTCTATAAAAATCTCAAGAATAATTTACATCAATTATACATGGAAAAAATAAAAATGATGCAAAACTGAGGATTCACAAGACCTCGAGCTTGATTATTGAAGGTATGAAACAGCTTTATTCGATTTTCTCCAACACTTCGAGCCTGGTTTTTCTTTTCCAACCTTTCATCGTGGCAACGAGGTTGACTAGACCAACTACTTGGCTTTTACTGTATTCCTGCAAGTTTTATAAAAGCAAAAAATAGTTTCCGTTTGGTACTCGTGATAAAAGGAATGAAATATATATATATATATATATATATATATATATATATAGTGTATGTATCTGAAATAGAAATGCATACTGGATGACCGCGTGACCAATGCACAAACTCGGTTTCTGGAAGGTAGTAGGCCTGTTCGGAAAATGAGTTTTGAGTAATGGTGGCAGAAGTGGGGGACAAAATGAAGTTGCTAGTGACAAGAAAGAAAAGAAATAGAATATATATATACACACACACACACACAATCCACGGAATTTGATCATTAGCACAATCCATCATAGAAGTGATTTTGGAGCTCACCTTGATGAAAGTCTCGACTATCTGTAACTTCGGCCTCACATCTATGGGAACAAAATGCTTTAGGCCATTGATCAATACCTGAAACCATAGAATTCCACGTGAACTTCAATATTCGGAAGAAAACAGTAAATGTTACTCCTATATATAAATGATTATCATTTTTCATGGGAAGTGGGAAACCAACCAACCTGAAGATCTAGTGACATGAGAGCTCTCCCCTCATCGGTGCACCTCTTCACCCTAGATAAGCCTTCAACAAGAATTTCAGCAACATTATCTAGTCCATATTCTAAGAGGAGGTCTTGGACCTGGATATGCAGGAAGAGAACAACTTTTAATCCTCTATCATAAAAGCATATGCAGAAACTGGAATCGGAGCTGGATATGCAATTAACCTCTAGGGATGCCAAAATTGAATAGTTGTATGGTAAGAATTCTAATATAGCTAAATAATACAAAAGGATGATGAAGTGATGAAGAGAACAAGATTTCAACAGTTTGATAAGCTTATACTGAAACGGGATAATGTTGTAAGCAAGTGTTCCCAATTTAGAAAGCTTATGGTAAATAGTTGAATGTAGCAAATAGACAACTAGTGTTCCATAGGAAAATCGCAAAACCAGTTCATTAGGTAGTGAGTTTTCACAATGACAGTACTTAAATTCATCATTTATCTTTTTTCTTTTATAAGTCAAGTAATTTTATCATACTTATTTAAATAAAAATAAAAAAATTATCCAGTAATATAACCCTACTTATAACTCAACACTGGTAAAATTGTCCCCTTGTGGAAATAGAATTTCTAAAAATGCCTTCTCTGAAAAAGAATATATTTTCTAGATAACATAAACAGAAAGATAAACATATGATGGCAAAAGATCATGCCCATGATGTTGCCACCACTCAAGGACATATAATTTGAGACCAAGTTCACACACACATATATCTCCCATCAGATGTACCAACAAAATACAGGCTCATATATTGGATCTAGCCATAAGTGCAACTGTGCAACAAAAGAAAAATGCAAAATCAACCACACTAGCACATGAGGTTTCAGAAATCAGAACTAGCAGTGCACAGTAACTGCATATTTGCAGGCAAACATTTAGGGAAATTTGAACTGCACAAACCTCAAGTACTTAATTTCATCTCCCCTATGTATTTTCAGGCACAGAAATTTCTAGCAAGATATTTCAGTACTCTCAGCTTGATATTTAATGGATAGCGGAAAGAATGACAGAGTTTGGTACTGGCTTTTCCTAGAGTAAATTTTCAATACATAATTATTAAAAATCAATACCTCCTTTTGAATTCCTCCAGTAACAAGCCTCGTTTTGTAGTGTTTAAATTCTCCCAGCAGCAAGTCTACATATCTATTACCACAAGTTATTAGAAGTTAGCCACATGGTGACAAATAGGAAGCAAGATGAAGTATTTTGTGTTTACAAGGTCAAAAGTATTTTTGGTTTTGAATGAGGAAACCAAAGAGTACTTCAAATAAAATTCAAGTGCAATGAATGAATTTGAATGTAAAAAGCTGCTGATTATTTAGAGTTACAATCTTTCTATCTTGGTGCAGTTGGTTTGCAAAACTTTGCCCTTATTTCCAATTGACAGGTTCACATAATTCAAATACAAGTCTAGCACTCTAGGTACTCTCCAGAAGGACCTGAATCAGTGCAACTGAGTAGTTAACACCTCACTCTAATCTCATTAGATCCTTTCAACCTTCATTTTCAAAAATTCATGGTAACCATGTTCATATCATTAAAAACTTTATACAGATCATATAGGAGTGTATCTATACGGGCTGTAACAGCCCATTAAATCCTTTCTTTCTATTGTTCATGCTAGAAGTACAACATGCTATAATAGAATCCCATGTTTATGTCTCTAGAGATGTGGCAGCTTGGATATCAGTATTCATCTTTCTGAAGTTATTTAATATTTTCTGGATGTCATACTAACAATTGAAAGGCTTGACATGGAATTCTCAATTTTATAGTCTTTGCTGGTCAGTGAATGAGGTACCAAACTTATCCTGTGCTCTCTACAACGGGGAAATTGACTGAATTGGGTAATTTTTGAAACTAGTGGACAAAAATGGGATGATTTTAAAACATGGACAACTTTAGGAAAACTCCATTGGGACTTGCATTTCTAATAAAAATAAAAAATAAAAAATAAAAATAAAAATAAAAAAAAGCAAGTCCCAATGGAGTTCGCCATTTTTTCGAAATGATTTTTTTTCACCATAAATACGACAAAGGTCAGTATGCATACGCCAAACGCAAGTCGGCAAGTGGGACTTGCAATTGTTGTATGTATTTCTATACAGTACAAATGCAAGTTGCACTTGCGTTTCTTTAAAAAAAAATATTATTTTGTCGCCGGTGGGACTTCTTTACGATCAAGGCGCAACGGCAAATGGCTCGTTGACACTCTGCAAACCGCCGGCTTCCCTTTCCTTATCCCCTTCATTACTGGCGATCAACAAATCATCAACAGCCACACAAACCCTCATTCAGTTCTTCTTTCTGCTGTCTAGACTGTTCTTGGTGTCATCTGTCATGATTGCAGGTTGCAGCTGGTGGGATTCTGTATTCCGTCGCCATAGATTACCTTCCAGCCTCTAGCCCTCTACTTACACTCTTGTTAACTCCACCCAGTTGGCATTCACTGCCATCTTCTCCTTCTTCATAAACGCCCAGATTTTCACCCCCTCCATTATCAACTCTGTTGTGCTTCTCACCTTTGCCCCCATGCTTCTTGTGTTTGGTAAAGACGATGATAACTCCGCCAGCTCAAACTCTCAAGATAACTACATCCTAGGACTTCTATTCGCACTCGGTGCCTCCACTTGCCTTGCGCTGCTCTTCTCGTTAACGCAGCTCATGTTCAAGAAAATCATGAGGGAAAACCTGAGATAGCTGTGCTAAACATGACAATTCTGCAGTCTGCTGTAGCAACAATGGTGACACTAGTTGGGCAGCTCGTGAAAGTGGTCATATTTCCTGAACATGGTCGCCAGCGCCTCTTTCCGGCAACAAAATAATATTTTTTTTTTTTAAGAAACGCAAGTCGCACTTGCATTTGTACTGTACAGAAATATATACAACAAACACAAGTCCTACTTGCGTTTGGCGTATGTATACTGACAAACACAAGTGGGCATATTTATGGGGAAAAAATCATTTTGAAAAAATGACAAACTCCATTGGGACTTGCGTTTTTTACCAGAAATGCAAGTCCCAATGGAGTTTTTCCTAATTTTGTCCATGTTTTAAAATCATCCCATTTTTGTCCACTAGTTTCAAAAATTTCCCATTTCAGTCAATTTCCCCTCCACAACGACCATAATCTCAAAATGAGCTCATGCTGCACAAAGTATATAGGAAAGTTTTGTGCTATTTCAGGCTTTCAGCTAACCATGGTCATTAATCTTCTTTAAGGGCAGGGTCAAATTACTATTAACATGCTAAAATGTGGAGGTATACTACCACATCAGCTGTTCCCAGAATTGAGTAAAGTTGAGCAGATCTATTTTCCACTCAGATGAGATTAGGTTAATGTCACACTACAGTGGAAACATTATATCAGGATGAGAGTATGAGAAAAAATAGTGTCCTAACTTTGGCAGCCTTGGTGACTGGCACGTGGAATGATGTCATCTCAAATACGTAATTCTATTAGAACTGCATCAGAGATTATGTTTGACCCGAATTAGGAAGGTCTATTCAAAAACTCACCAAAATTGGCTAGGCATCATTTTCCAATATCATGATAGAATTTTATAAAATTTCCAAATCAAAATCTCTCTCTCACCTATTTTTGCTTATTCCAGTTCTCATAGAAATATCTGGGAAGAAAAAAATTTTGCAACAGAAACATACCCATTGTGCTCCAATCCAAGATCTTTCAACTCCCATTTAGCATTAGCAATCCTATCAACATACCTGACCAATTTGAAGTCAAACCCATTGTAAACACCCAACTTAGAAGCAATTTCAACATTTTAAAGAACAAATCATACTTTCTACTCTAGCAAAGCAGTGATAGTAACAATAGAAAGAGACTATAATAGCATAGCAACAACAACAGTATGCATTAGAAATTTTCAGAATATGTGTGTGTGTGTGCAATATAAGAAAATAGAACCTACGTACTATAGATATTTAAGGTCCCTCTAAGAATTAAAGGCAGACAAATGAGTTTCTCATATAAACATTCCACTGGAGATGTACATTTTTGGTATCTATGGATATAACACTTGCATAGAGCCAGAGATAGTAAAAAGTCACTCCTAGTACTAAAAAGGTGTGTGGAATGAGGACAAAAAATGAGTAATATCTCACCCATTTATGTGGAGAAATAACCTTGCAGTTGTTCTGTGAATATGTTCTACAAGGTCTGGTACAGCATCCACCTGAAAAAGGAACGTAGTGAAATATTTAAGATGCTAAGCTGATTAATGAAAGTCAATCCCTCCATAAAATCATACATATCAGAATTGTCATCACTCATTATATAGGACTACATCAGAAGAGATTAATTGGTTGCAATAATTTTTTATGGGTTTCAAATAACAGAAGTTCACAGAGCATTAAGACAGAAAATCAACATGGTACTCTATGATCATTTTCCATTGTTATACTATTTTAGTTCTTCAGGTATAAATCAGAAATTAACAATATTCTTGTGGTCTTTCCACTCTCTGTTTTTTAAACTTCTCAACTGCATATAGGAATTTAGTTGGACGGTTGGACCTTAGGGCAGTGGTTTAACCATTTTTATCAATTTCATTTATAGTTGCATAAAAATTATAACTACTAATAGAACTTTTGTAGTCCAGGTACGCATACCAAATGCACATAAACATCTTCAACAGTTGCTGAATTTTTTTTCGGAAGCATTGACTGAAGATGAGATTTAGATCTATGCAACAATCGAGCAACAAGAGATATAGTGTCAGCACCTGCACATCTTTCCTGCAATTATATTGAGATATATTATGCATCAAAACTGAAAATGAGACACTTTTTTAGAATTGCTACATATGAGAATAATACAGTACTCATCAAAACATGAGGTGATATCAAATCTATGCATATGCATTTTTCTGTGGGTATTATGATGTTTAATTTACCACGCCCCTAAGGACAAGACTTAGAGCCAAAAAGTTCAGAGATCTGTCTAAACTAACTTGTACAAGTATTACAGTATCACTGGCTAGAGTAACAATACCACAAGCAATACAAGTAGATCTTTTATAAAGAAGAAACCAATTACACAGAGAACTATACCCCTGTTCAGCATTGCTGAAAAAAGTACCTTGAGACTGAAAGATGCACCAGCTAAGAGACTTGGCGGACTTGTAGGTGTGACATCCATATGAGCGAATGGTGTATTTGAAGATGTGGGTGAAGATGAATTAAATGGTGAAGACTGTGGTTTCATCCATTGGTCACAATCCTGTGTTATTCTTGATAATGCAGTCTTTAGCTTGTCTAAGAACCATTAAAATAAATAAATAAATCACAGCATGGTGTAGGACATACAAATTTTTTTCTTTTTAATGGAGAGAAAAGTAGCTATTGAAAACACTTACGAGGAAGCATGTCTGTCAAGACCTTTCCACCAGGGAGAGCACTCTGATTGACAAAGCTCTCAAATACAAAGTGAAAAAAGATCCCAAACAATTGGCTAATTCCCTGTTAAAGGATTTCACAGTTTTTTAAAAAAAAATAAATAAAAAATAATAATAATAATAATAATAATAATAATAATAATAATAATAAAAATAAGCAGACTGTAAGAGTTGATCACCTAAAGAGAAATATATCTAGACTATGAACTATTTTTAAAGGGGTATACCTTGAACAACTCAACATTTACAAACTCCAGCTTCTGCATTAGCCTTGCATATTTATCCATTAACCTGTTGTGTACAATTTTCAGCTTAAAGTTATCAATATCTTTAGTAAGAAAGCAATCCAAACATCTTACCTTAGGAGAGTAAGAGACGATCCTGTTTGTGCTGTCATTTCTTCATCATTCGAAAGTGCAGAACGATGTCTTGAATGACTAGGCTTTGAAATCCGGCTTGGAAGTTGACTATCTTCATCAATAAAATCAGCATGAAGATCTTCGTTTTCATCTTCTGATAGAGAAGCACTCCCATTCGTATTATTTTCAGCATGGTCTTCTTGAGTAGAATCCTTTTTGAAAGAACTCCCATTAGAGCTTCCAACTTCTCTAGGCGATCCGGGAAAATAAGAATCAGTGTGCTCATTTGTATTAGAATTCAATTTCACCAAAAAGGGGTTCTCGTTCTTCAGCCAATTTGAAAATCCACTCCTCTTATTGGTTTGGGCAAGATATTTTGACTTATGGGCATGCCCCAATCGAGTATCGAGAGAGTTACTAGTTGAAGCAATCAATGCCGCTCCATCACCAACGAGACCAGCAAAACTTACTATTTGTGTTACTTCTGGTGGCAATATCAGCCAATTCTCCTTTTCCAGCACCAATTTCAGTGCCTGTATATAAAAATGAAGATTTTAAGATTATTAAAAACCATACATGTTATGAGTTAAGAATGAATTATGACCCTAAGAAAAGTTTATACTCTGTACTAATTAACAACAGATAAACACAGAAAGAAACACTTTAGTAGGCCAATAAATTTTTAGAACATATTCTCTTCCTCGGGTGTTGTACAGAATAGTAATAACATAATAGGATTGAAAACTCAAAACCACCCTTTCATCAGTCAGGTCACATGTATTACTTCATTAAAAGTAATTTTTGTTTCAAATTTGCAGGAACAAAAAATGCACTTAATTGCAGGTGTTCATGTAGCTTCAAGCCTTCAAGCATCAAAAAGGGTGAAGAGTTCATAAGAAAATGAGTAATCTATGGTAGCATACATATGATTATAGGTATAAATTGAACACTATTATAGGACTTCACAGGTAATGTACGCTATTATTGCGACTCAATTCTTATTAGTAACAGATAGTCAAAGTGTCACTGTTTCAGGGAAAAAAATGCACAAACAAACAAACAAACAGATAATGGAAGTAGAGATAAAAATGTAGTAAAATTTTCATCCCTGATAACCTCTAAGATAAGTGATGATCAGCTACTGCTACATTTTTATGTGATATGTCAAAGCATCAGTCAGTAAGATGAATCAACTAAGCAATTCAGCACTCAAAACATTAAAAATTTACAAAATATTCTTTTTAGGAAGGGAATAGTAGATAATGTACCCATTGAAATCTAAAACCAGTACCCATACCCACCCCTTCTCTTTACTTAGAAATTCACTATTAAAATAATTAGATAAAAATTCACCAAGCTGAGTACAAAATATTAGCTTCTCACAGTAGCATAATAATTATGATATAACAGAAATGAAATTATTCAACTTTATAGCCTCAGTATCATTAAGTGAGGAACAACAAGAATTTGTTCATGTGTGAATGAGCACAAGAATTATCCAACTCATAGCCTCATTTTCTAAAGCAGTGTGACAAATTTCAGCAAAAGCAATTACCAATATCATACACGAAAGGCATACAAGTGGTAAGGTAAAGAAAACTTCAATTATATTTATATTATTTCAAATTTTAACTTCTTAGGAAAATAAATTTGTTGATAGAAGCTTTATGAACCAGTAGATTTAGATTTACTGCTTTCCAGAAAAAAATGTACATGTAATAGCTTTGAATATTATATTAAAAAAGAAAAGCTCCAAGTAGATGCCTACAAAAAGTATTACAAGAGTATCATGATTCTAGAAAACACAAGAGGTCCATTAATGGGCTTTTCTTTATACCCTAAAAGCAAAAGATCCAAACTCTCTACTTAATCCAATGCACGGGAGTCCCAAGTCCCTCAAAATATCTTATATTTCTTTTGCCATTCGAGGACCACGATGCGCAGAGGGGAAATGTTTCCCACGACATGCACTCTGTTGTGTGTGTGTATGCATAACATATAGGGATAGGGATAGGGTAAAGCAAACTTACATATATGTTCTGCCGATGGAAAGAAACAAAATAACTTTCACAAACAAATTTCACTTTCTGCCTGAATTCAACTGCTTCACTCGCACAGAAAGCTTCCCCAGCCAAGATGAAAGTATTCAGATCTTCATACATTGTTAGGAACTGATGAATACTTGTAGAACACACAACAGGAGACGAAAGTAACACTGCTACACGACTTGTTGTAAGTTGCCAGAGATTCCTCCGGCCTCTATGTAAGGTTTGTGAAACAAAAGTTGCAGCATCCTTACGCAGCTGAAACCAGGGTGATCCGCTGCTTGATGCTGTCTCTCCACCATCCCTTACCTCTTCACCATTATCTATATTTGAAGGATGAAAAGCTGCAATATTATCTGTCAAAGATACACAGGTTGCTGGCATCTCTCCAGTGGAGGATACAACTGGAGTTTGTGCAATTGTACCAACATGTTCAATGTCCCCTGCAAGTGCAAAAACCTCACCCTGCTTCTCATCCATAGCAAGGGTTTGGCAGGCAGAGACATAGATATCACAAAATACTTCACATAAAATCTGTGCATAAATCGTGAGAGGGGGGAATAATTTCAGGCAATGACCTAATAATTGCAAAGAAGCATAATAAACAAATATGAATAAAATTTTAAATTGAAGCAGATTCTATAACAAATCCTTTAAGCAGAACATTTAATTTTTATAAATGAGGAAAAATATACATAAAAGTCGAGAAAAAGCAATCTGAAAAGAAAGAGAGGAAAGCAGTCCCTCCTCTCCCAACCCACTGAGAAGGTTTGAAAGAGCTAACTCTATTATTGTGAGCACTGTAAGAAATTATGAATAGTTTTAAGACACACAAGAAAGATGTTTACCTTATCCACTGGCTGGAAGCTCAAGATTGCATGATATGAACACATCAACTTAAATAGTACAGCTAGGGTTGCCAACAAACACTGCCTAAATTTGGATTCAGGCATCTGAATGCACAGATCACTGTATGTGAGCCTGGATGTGGAATGGGGGCAAATCATGACACAGATAAACCAGAACAGTTTCTTAGCAAGTTGATAGAGGCATGAGATTATACCTTGCACCTTGAACATTGGTATTTTCAAAGTCCTGCAATAAGTAATAGATGTTATAAAGCAAGGAAGCATAAGATACTGTTATGTAAAAGGTCAGCTTTATATGTTCTTGTTGTTCACTTCATACCCTGGAAAAAAGTCAGCTTACTCAATGTTTTAAATAATTATGCATTTTTCATTAATGTCACACTGGCTGGGAGCTAGAGACTCGAAGAAAACACTAGTCATTTTTCTTTTGGATAATCTTGAACATTTTACCATAAAAGTAATCTCAAACATGTTTAACTAAGTCCAATTACACCAAAGGAATGTGAATTTGGCCATTAGTACTCTTATTGGAAAAGAAAAGGAAACGCCTATCAAAAAAAGAAAGCAGATAAACATACCGTTTGCACAAGAGTCTTCAGAACACTGTGTGTATCAGAGAGAACCTCCTGCATAAAGAAACTTTGTATCTTTTCAGCAAGACCAGAAACATCCCCGATTAGTGCATACGCATCAACCACCTGTAGATGATATGGAACACATTATTTCAAGCTTGTTATGACATATTACTATATACTGTACACAGACAGTAATTGCAACCAGCTTCATCTGCGTCATAGCATTTACAAAGTCTGTCCTATGCACAAAAATATATAAATATAAATCCTCTCACGCCCCTCAACATCTGGAATTGATCATACCCATGAGATAGGAAACCACTTATAACTATATTCTTAGTAATAAGACATGATCAAGTCAGGCTCTTCTAAAACACAAGCATGCAAGAACATATCCAAAATTAAAGACTAAATATAGAATTCAGATCAGACTATCCAGAAATAACATCTTTGAATAGGATTAAAGCTAAACAACATATGTTAACAGGATTTCAAATGCATGAATCTATTTCTGTACAAAAAAGTTTATGGAATCATATTCATACCAGTATTTGGCCTATCATACAGTGGAAGTGTAAGAAAAAGGAATACAAGATCAGATTTTTTTTTACACGAATGCAAGATGAGACGATTAAAGATGAAATGTGAAATTATGCAATGCACTTCAAAACTTGTAGTGATTTGGTCGAAAACCAAGTTGATTGACTAACAGTTATATAGCTCTCCTCTTGGAAATCCTGGCATACTCCTAATAAAAGTGCATCCAACTTTTGAAGAGTCTTTCCCAACCACACCTGTAAATTCATGGAGCTCATTAACATAGATTTAGATAACCACAATCATGGGAAAACTAAAGAAACACCACAAAGATAGCAGAGATTGTGTTCATGTGCAAAATTTAATCAGAACTCTAGATTTGGATAGGATTTTCTAACAATTATTTACAAAAAGAAGTAGAGATGTCCCTTATGGTCACTTCATTAAAAGTTATAATGTGTTAATTTCACCTCAACACCATGGCTCATTTCTTGTACTGCTGAAAGTTGTGATAAACTATCCAGAATTTGCAAATACTCGGAGAGTACTTGGAATGCCTGCAAGTCAACAGGTCAATCATTAGTCAATACTTGCAGAATGCATGACCATACAACGTTAGAATAAAAAAGAATGATTTGCGAGAAGGAAGAGGAAGGAAGTGGAAGCAAAGCTGCAAAAGATTGTGTTGGAATAGAATGGGACCTTAGAGAAGTTTCCTTCCTCTACAAGAGTTTCAAGAGCTGCTTGCATGTCCAGTGCATGGCGGAGCTCTGTTAAGATGGGGAGCATGTCCTAGAAATTTATAAGCTGTCAAATTCTGAGGAGCATTTTCACAACAAATTGAACACCTACTAATAAAAATATATAACTACTTCTCATCGAAAAGCTATTCCATATTGGTGATGGAAACCATGGTCATACTAAATGAGAACTCAAGATCCTTTTGCCTAGACTAGGATGAAAAAAAGTCATGCTAGTCCTTGAAGGAGCCTAGGCAAAGAAAAATACCAAAAGCGCTTGTTTCTTTTTAGAATTTCTGTGCACAATAAGATCCCTTGATATTTCATTCCTTGATGATGTAAGATGTCTCCGCCCATTCTGCAGAAATCAGGAAAAAGAATTGATGAGAACCAGAGATCAAGAGAAAATCCAGCCTCATGGTAATAATAGTGGGAAAAATCCAAGTTTATGATGTAAAAAAAAAAAAAAACATGAAAGGTAAAATATCATAATTATTTTACCAAGGAAGACATTAACATGCAACATTGACAGCTGCTTACCATGCAAATAACATTCGCAACCTTCAAGTCTCTTTCCAGTTCCCTGACAAGATTCATTCCTTTCACTGCCAGTACAAGCACATTCTTAAAGATTGAAAGGAGAAACCACTGTGCATCCATTATAAGAAAAATGGAACCATAACAATGACAGCTTAAATGCTTAACTGTTGAATAAACTGGGATGATTTATATATGTATTGCTTGAACACCCATTGGATAACACAAAGACTACACATATATATACCATAAGCTAACCTAGAGTATATCACCATAGAGTCTATCAACTTGTTCACACACCTAGGGAATATCAAAGGACACACATTAAACACGCGCATAATACCAAGAGGCACAAGTAATATACTCAACAACAAAATAAGCACAAGACTTACAGAGCTGATAGGAAAGGAGATAAAGCAGATACCATCTTTTTAAATGCATTATATTAAGTGCTTGAAAGCTTGGTAGTTTAGTGGCCAAATGTTCACCAATTTTTTATGCTAAAAGTCGGGGGTTCAAGACCTAGAAGCAACCTGTCTATAATAAAGGTAAGGTTTCATATTGGTTCCTTCTTAAGATCCTACATGAGGAGCATTGTGCACCTTTATCAGGGACATGGTTTTAACTCATTTTTTAAAGTGACTCTCTGAATGAATCCCAAAAGATCTGATCTATATAACACGAGATAATCATAGTAATCTACCATTCAAATAATATACAGAAGACCTAGAGATAATCATAGTAAGCTCTACCTTCAAGAATGTCTGGTAACAATTCTTAAGTGGGTCATCATTCAATACATACTAGAAAACAATGGGAAATTCTGGAACATGCCTTTTAGGACTTCTTGCCCCCTAAACGCTCTATCTTTATCATTTACAAAAAGAAAAAAATTATCTGTCATCAGATGTAGTTAACCAAGCAAGGCATATAGCTTATACAAAACAATGATAAAATATATGTGAAGAATCTTACGAGGGTCCCCAAAAACACACACACACACACACACACACACAAAAACAGAAGCCTTACCCATGACTTCATGATGCTGCATAACATGGCGCGAAAGGCGTTCAGCAATTCTATCCAACTGTGCTAATCTAGAAGCAGCCTGTAAATAAATAAATAAATAAATAAATATATATATATATATATATATATATATATATATATATATAAAAACAAAAATTTAGTTGTGAATACTGGATTGAAACAATTTCAAAAGTAAATGACATAACATTCAAGAGAGTTGAACAAACTTCAATTCTTAATTTTTATAGGTAAAACAGAAAATCATGCATGGATTATTTGCTCCAGTAAATTTTCTCTAAGGCACAAACCATATAAAATTGAAGTGCTTGGATGGTGGAATTGAAGAATGAATAGACAATCTAAAGCCCAAGATTCGATAACATGCACCAGAGAAGTCAAGAAGTCAACCCCTCAAAACTTGGCAGTACCTCTGGAAGGTATTTAAGTTGGAGATCCTAAATGTAGAAATCTATAGGGCAGCTTCTCAAGATCAAATGACTTGGGATGTTGTAAATAACAAAAGCTTATTAACAATGATACAAATGATATCCAGTTACAGGTTAATTTATTTGTTCACTACTACTGTTTCTACAATACAAATTCAAACAATAGAAGAAGTTTCAAGGTCTTCCGGATGCATTTTATACATGAAGCAATTCCAGTAAAAATTTGCCAAAAGTGGAAAGACTTGGATTGGAGCCATTCTGGATTGACAATTATGTAAGCAGGCTATTGATCAGAAAAAGAATCTAAAGGAGAAGGTAGTGGTTCAAGTTCAACATGTTTTTCTCTTAAATACTTGGATTGGAGCCATCCTTTGCCTGCTCTCTTTAAATACAAAACCCCATAAGGAGAAGGTAGTTGTTCAAGTTCAACATGTTCTTCTCTTAAAAATAGGAAACTGCGTCCTATTATTTTGTCAGAGAGTATTATTTAGGAAATGTGCATTCAGCTCATGCCTCATAGGACAAGTGTGTCCTCTTATCTGGACATAATTTGGACACAAGTTGGGGTCAAATTCAGAATGTTTGAACCAATTCTTGATGATCCATATTACTATATGTAACTTGACATTCTTCGAAGGGCCATATTCATGATATAATTTTATTTCATATTTCACATCACTTTTTTGTTGAGATGTACAATTGCTACCTCATATACATACCATTGTTGTTATTATTAAGGTCTTTTACGTTTTACCGTAAAGTAAATTGACAGAGTTACCATTTGATGAATGTGTACAACTCAAATAAAAATTGGCATTAGTAAGGGGAACAAAATAGTATCTACACTATTTGATCATTAGGAGAAGAGAGAGAGAAGATAAGCAAGTTATTACGCCCCTAATCGCCCAAAAATAATATAAATTTAAGAACTGAAACAAATAATGAGGATATAATTAATTAATTATGTAAAGAAACCTCAACCCCCCCCCCCCCCCCCCTTTTCCCCAAAACAAAAAAGTGGAAGACAAAAATAGAACTATACCTTTTCTTCAAAATATGCCAGTTCATTCTCATCAGTTGGAATATGCTCCAAAACATGCCTTACAGGATCAAAATCCTAAACGCAAAGAGGCACAAAAACACTCAGTGATTTACACAGATCAAATGCTGACAGAAATAATGTGTAATGCAAATGTTAATGTTCAAAATGGAAGAGGTTAGGAGAAAGTGTGGGGTGAGAGGATAAATTAATGTAATAAAACTAAACAAAAACCAGCAAATGGTCTGATGTACCAAGGAAAATAATACAAGTGTCTGGAAATCAAAGATCTTTAACAAAGAAGCAAAAGGCCCCAAAATAAGCAATAGATCACACATAACAGTGGTGATATTAAAATGAAAATCCTTGTGTTCAAATGAATATATCAAGCAATAGGCACTTATCAACAATTATTATCAATACAGAATTATGGATAAATGAAGAGTGACAAATATGACCTAATAAAGTAATAACACCAAACAGAAAGTAAAAGATAAAGGCAGTACTATTAACTTCAAAGTGAAAAGCCCCAAATGAGCAATAGATCACACAAGGCAATGGTGAAATTATAACAAAAATCTTTATGTTCAAAAGATATATATCAAAACAATTGGCCATATATCAACAATTGCCAATATGGAATTATGGATAAATGGAGAGAATAACAAATATGACCCAAAAGTGCCAGACAGAAAGTACAAGATAAAGGCATGAAAGGCTGTTTTATTAACTTAGAAGTGAAACATGAACCTCTTCATAAAATTCTTCCTCAAGGTCATTCAACACTTTGGAAGGTCTGCTCCCATATATTGAGCTTAATTCTTCAGAGCTTGATGAAAGACTATGCCTTTGATGAGGAGGTAGTGCAGCAAGAACACGTGCAACAGCAGCTGCCGCTGCAGCTCGTGCTGGAACCTGTGAGAAACAGCACTTAAACAAATGATGACTCTTCACAAAACAACTCTAGAAACATACCAAAATTTTCTCCTTTTTTTAATGTATGGAGGTAATTCCAGGTACATGTGCAGACATTTCATGGCATCTTCAAAGCTATTCAAAATTTCATCAATAACCACAAAATTTGAAGCTACTGTGTGTTGTCTAAGTGTCTAACAACTCATGTCATTATGTGTTGCCTGAATCTCCCACTCATCATTCGATCCATCAAGATCAAACACTTTTCCATCCTTCCCAGCTCTAGCAAGGGTTGTCTATAAGGGACCACTAATTAAAGTCAAGAGGGTTGCAATTAAAACCCTTACGACAACCAAACAGCTTTGTTCTCTGGATCTAACGGTGCCGCTGAGTGTGAATGTATTTTATTAAGTAAATTTATCTAAAGCCTACTAATAAATTCTAATGTAACTAGAGTATCCAACCTCCTTATTGAATTAATGCATAGATGGTAGTAAATACCTACACCAAAAGTGTAGTTAGTGAAATATGCATCAGTTTCAGTGTTTACTATAAGCAAGCTTTATTCACAGCCATTAAAAAAATGTCACGCTGGAGGAGGAAAGAAAATCAAGCATGGCTGTTCCATCTTCCAGCAAGCCAACTTCTTTCTTGTTTGGATCATTCATACAAAGCTCCAAATTCTGTTCCATGCACACAACCCATCCCTATAATGTATAATGTGTCTTATTTTTAAACAAAAATAGCCACAATGATGCGGTGCTACTTTCACCAAAACCCCTTTGCATTTTCTTTGACTGCAGAAAACAACTACTCCGACTCTCCACCACCACCACCTCTCTCTCTCTCTCTCTCTCTCTCTCACACACACACATTCACTATCTCTCTCACTCACTCTCAGGTGCACATGTATTTATGTGTGTGACAATGTAAATATGGGTACAAATGAAACATCAGACACAATATAGTAACAATTCCGAATTTGCTGGAACTACAAATACTAAATTGTCCATATTCATTCAACACTACAGCTCCCCTATACGAAAAGGCAGATCCTTGAGAACAACCTAAAGATCACGTATACCGGATAAAAAACCATAGTCAAAATCAAAATAACACCGTCTGCTGATTCTTAGCTAGAATCCAGTAATACCCACTAGAACACCGACCATGTAAAAAAAAACCAGCGTAATTAACAGCTGAAATGTAGCCGAGTACACGAATCAAATTACCTCAGGGCGATCGGAAGGAGAAGCGGGAAGAAGGCCAAGAGATCGGGCGGAGCGAACGGAACTGAAGATCTTCTCTCCAACCTTAGACAAGTCCATGCCGCCAGCAGTACCGCCTGGGGATGAGAAGAGCAGGGAGCCCAAGAACAAATACCTGGAAAGCTCAAACCCGCCTTCGCTCAATTCAGCACCATTGAACAACGTAAGTGGAATCAGAGGGAAAGGCAGCGAGTTGGACTGCATTTCAGTTCGAATCGGGCCTTGACGGCCGCATTTCTCCGAGATCGGATTGGAATTTCAGTGGAAGAAGTGAAGAAATATAGAAGCGTATCAAAGGGGTGGTGTTCGTGTTCAGATCAGGAGCTCCGGCTCACAAAAGTGTTTGGTGGAAATTTTGTGTTTGTTTCATGTAGTACCAGTCTCATTAAAAGTCAGTCCACTGGTTCCTCATTCGCGTCGTATTATTGACAATTTTGTAATTAAGCATCAACCTATGGGCTCAACAATTTTGTACAGAAGAAATTTGTGATTTTTTGCTGTTAGGATTACAAGTAATATTAATTTTTTTGTGAATTAAGTGATAAGTAGGCATTTATTTGTAAATTGTCACTATTGAAATTTGTTATAAACTTGATTATATAATACTTGTGTCTTTCTTAAACTAATTTATTAGAATATTAAGAAGAGTCTACAACTTGGTAAGGAGAGGGGGTTCCGGAGATTGATTGTAGAACTGGACTTTGAAGCGGTTGTCAAAGTGATGAGCGAGAATTACGAGGTTAATGACTTTATCATTACCCTCATTTTTAATTTTTAATTACAGGTATATAGCTCTAGGTTTGGCGAAGGTGACGTTCACACATGTGATGAGGGAAGGCAGTAAATGTGTTGATTTTCTTGTAAATCTTGATCAGGCAAAGGATGCGGGCACAATGATCTTAGAGGCCCCATCCAATGACATTTTGGGGCTCCTTTCAGCCAATGTCAGTGGTACTAGGTTCATAAAGGTTAGTTAATACCCGTATTGACCGGGACAATTTCACAACAACAAAAAATCTCAATTAAAAGATTTATACTAAAATATATTAAAAATTAGAGAAAAGGGTCAAATAGACCCCTAAACATTACCCTAAAGGTCAATTAGCCCCCTAAACTTTATAAAAGGTCAATTAAACACTCAAACATGCTAAATTTGGTCAATGAAGCCCAAAAACTGGTAAATGACCTGTTTTTACCAGTCATTTTAATTCCGGCGACGAAATCCGGCCACCGGCGAATTTTTCCGGCGGCCGGCGAATTAATTTTCCGGCCGTCCGGTCGTCTTCCACCGGAGAAGACGACCGGACGGCCGCCTTCTCCAGCCTTCTCCAATGGAGAAGGCGGCAGGCGACCGTCTGCCGCCTTCTCCAGTGGAGAAGACGACCAGATCTGGTCGTCTTCTCCAATGGAGAAGACGTCCGTCTGGTCGTCTTCTCCATTGGAGAAGATGACCAGATCTGGTCATCTTCTCCAATGGAGAAGACGACCAGATCTGGTCGTCTTCTCCACTGGAGAAGGCGGCAGACGGCCGCCTGCCGCCTTCTCCATTGGAGAAGGCAGCCGTCCGGTCGTCTTCTCCGGTGGAAGACGACCGGACGGCCAGAAAATTAATTCGTCGGCCGCCGGAAAAATTCGCCGGTGGCCGGAATTCGTCACCGGTGGCCGGATTTCGTCGCCGGAATTAAAATGACCGGTAAAAACAGGTCATTTACCGATTTTTGGGCTTCATTGACCAAATTTAGCATGTTTGAGTGTTTAATTGACATTTTTTAAAGTTTAGGGGGCTAATTGACCTTTAGGGTAATGTTTAGGGGTCTATTTGACCCTTTTCTCTAAAAATTAATATAATCAAGATTCTAAATTAAATAAAAATTGTGTTGATGTACATTTTACATTTATATGTTGTACCACTTACTTATTTTTATGTACTAGCATGAATTATTTCCAAATGTGTTATTTATTTTATGGTTTGCTCGTCTAAGTTATAAACTTCACATAACCAAAAAGAATAGTTGCATTGACTTTATGATTTTCTCAACAACAACTATCATTTATTTTTCACTATTCACTACAAGAAAAATCATGATTCGCGACGGAAGAATTCCATCACGAAAATGTGAAATTCCGTCGCGAATCACGTTGTGCGACAAAATTCTTCCGTAGACTCCAGGCTTGTCGTATTTCATATCGTGATGAAAAAATCCGTCGAGTAGTAGCGATGGAATTTCTCGTTGCAATGTATGCGAAGAAAATCATCCCATCATGATTATGTCGCAATTTAGGCGACAAAAATGTTTTCTTCCGTCACCATTGCTTGAGAAAATATTATGTCGTGAAACTCATATTCCATCGCTTATTTCTACAGTGAACTATAACAACATAAATAATTGTCGTCTTGATTCCATCGCTAAATTTTCTGTTGTAACTTTCGTCTTCCGTCACAAAATTCTGGCTTAAGAAAACGACAGAAATAATTGTCATTACAATTTCGTTGCCAATTTTTTCCCTGGTTTTGTAAAATAATTATTTTTTAAATACTTTGATAATTATTATTATGTTGTTAAGTTGGTATTTAAAATGCTAATATGCTAAATGTCTTTGGACTATAAAATATAATTCCAAGTCAATATTGCATTCACTAAAGCTCAATCCCACAACCTCCCTTATAAGGAGTAGTTATGCTGTGCATTCGTATGCACCATGCAAAACGACGTCGTTTTATTAAAAACGCGCGTCCCCCCTTAAAAAAAAAAAAATCAGGTTCGATTCCCAGCAACAACATTATGTTGTTCATTCATTTTGAAATTTTAGTTCATAGATTATGAAATTTTAGTTCATTGATTCTGGAATTATAGTTCATCGATTCTGGAATTGTAGTTCATAGAATCTGGAATTTTAGTTCATTCATTCTGGAATTTTTAGTTCATAGATTATGGAATTATAGTTCATCGATTCTGGAATTATAGTTCATCGATTCTGGAATTTTAGTTCATATGTTGTTGCTGGGAATCGAACTTGATTTTTTTTTTTTAAGGGGAGACGCGCGTTTTTAATAAAACAACGTCGTTTTTGCATCTGTATGCACCATGCATAGTGCATACGGATGCACAATATAATTTACCCCTTATAAAGGAGTAATTTGGTGTCATTAGACTACAAGATTCTTGGCCCAAGATTTAGAGTACAAATTAAAGAGTTGTGTTAGTTCCCTTTTGAGTTTTGATTTTCGAGTTTTGGAGTTTAAAGATTTACCTATGATAGCATTTTGTCAATTGTAGAGTATCACTAAGATGGATTTTATCAATAACTCCCTAGGAAATAGAATGATTAATTATGCTGTGCAACCGAATGCACCTTGCAAGGTGCATACGATTGCAAAACGGCGCCGTTTTGGTTAAAAAAACGCGCGTCCCACTTAAAGAAGAAATCAGGTTCGATTCCCGACAATAGCATTTTTATATATCCAGAAATTCATAACTATATAACCACAATTTCATAACTATATATCCACAATTTCATAACTATATATCCACAGTGAATGAATGAAGTAAAAATCCACAATGAATGAATGAATGAAGTAAAAATTCACAATGAATGAACTAAATATTCACAATATATGATTGAACTAAATATCCACAATGAATGAACTAAATATCCATAAATTCATAACTATATAACCACAATTTCATAACTATATATCCACAATTTCATAACTATATATCCACAGTGAATGAATGAAGTAAAAATCCACAATGAATGAATGAATGAAGTAAAAATCCACAATGAATGAATGAATGAAGTAAAAGTCCACAATGAATGAACTAAATATCCACAATATATGATTGAACTAAATATCCACAATGAATGAACTAAATATCCATAAATTCATAACTATATAACCACAATTTCATAACTATATATCCACAATAATGCTATTGCTGAGAGTCGAACCTGATTTTTTTTTAAAGTGGGACGCGCGTTTTTAATCAAAATGGCGTCATTTTGAACCGTATGCACCATACGCATGGTACATTTGGTTGCACAGGATAACTATTGCAATAGAATTAACTCCTAATATCTCCTTAATATTTCTCTAGTCTCTACATAAGGCCATCTGCACGCATGCAATTGAGCAATACCCCTCCTTACAAAGCCTACATGGCTTTAAAAACAATAAAAAATTGACACGTAATTGTTGTTTTGCAATTATGACATTTCAAAATTGCAAATTATGCAATTTTGTGTCAGAATTGCAAGCAGCAAGAATGGGGCTTTATTTATTTTTATTAGTATTATTTTATTAATAAAATAAATAATTTTTATAAGGTGATGTGATAGATGGACCATTTTTAAAGATGAAAGAAAATTGCATGGATGAATAGTGAATAATGAATAATTACAAATTTAGTGATATGACATTTTGAAAGTGAAAGAAAATTGCATAAGTAAAGATAGTCTAATGGATTAATCTAGGTATGATGTCAAGGTAGATTTCAATTTAGAGGCGAGATTTTCATTACATGATTGTGATACATATATATTTTGATATTTCATTTTTAAGTATTGGACATTAATTAATCGTTCAATTTAATAAGTTATTAAAAATTAAAAATATGAATAATGCTCAAATAGTCCACTGAACTATATGCAATAATTGCATAACTCAAAAAAAAATAAAAAATAATATTTATATATATATATATATATATATATATATATATATATATATATATAAAACTAGGTCACTATACAATTCAAAGTTATGCAATTAAATCAAAATTGACGTCTTCCCTCAGTTATTGCTGATGAGGTGGTCATCCAATTAAAATTTAGTATTTTTTAAATTTATTTTAATAATTATAAATAAAATTAAACTAAACATTACTTAAAAAAAATGTTGTGAAAGGCAGCCGCAAATTATATCGTGCACCGTGGTGCATAATCGATTATACACCGTGCATCAAATCGACGTCGTTTTATTTAATGAAATGAAACGGAATCCGTTTTGCGTCGTTCCGCAAAAAATAATTCTGTTCTTCAGTTTCATTTTGTATACACTGCAGTTTCAGTTCAACACAACTATAGTTTCATTTCGATATAACTACAGTTTCATTCAATATTTATACACTCAAATATGTGAAAATGTTATTTAATTTTATTTTATAAACACTATAGTTTCATTAAAACACAACTACATGATCATTTCGATATAATTACAGCTTCATTGTACAATATACACTCAAATATGTGAAATGTTATTCAGTTTCATTTTATATATACTGCAGTTTCATTTCACCACAACTACAATATCATTTTGATACAACTGCAGTTTCATTTGATAATATAAAAATAATACGTGTGACAGT